GGGGGTAGTTGATGTTGCGTATACAGGATGGGTGGTAAGGGTTCGGTAAGTTTTAGGAATAGACCGCTGCTCTGGGTAGCAGCGTGAGGGGTAAATTCAGCAGAGCTTGATCAGGCTCTGGGCGGTTCTAGACCCGCCTTATACCGTATTCTCTATTCTTATTCGCTAAAACTAGGATCTTTTTATCTTTTCCTTTTCTCTTCGTTTCGTATTGTCTCTCTTAGTCTTGAAATCTCTCTTTTTCTGTCAAAAAGTTGAAAAAAATGATCTGTCTCAGTGAACTCCGTTCACTCAACTCAAAAAAAAAATTTCTTTGTCTCTACTTCCTCTCTCGAAAATGATTTTAGACGTGTTTATGCTTCTGCAGACGGTGTTATTGCACCTCCGGACAGTGATAATGAAGATCCCGTGATCCTCTTTTCTAATTGAACATTATTTTAATTCTTTGTACAGTGTTTGAGGAATTACAAGAATGCCGAATTCTGAAGTATTTTTTCTTTTGAAGTAAGATAGAAATTGAGAAACTGATCTGATTCTATTCAATTACTTAACAGTATATGAAAAAAGAGAAAATTTCTATACTGTAATATTGAGTCCATGAAGAGATCTAGAGAGAGGCTAAATCCACTAGTTCGCCTTTCATTTCAGGAAGGATGGTTCCTCGATCTGATTTATGACTCGTTTTGAATCAATTTTACAGGTTGAATCTTCTGAGTATCATTCCTTCGTTACCACACAGTCAGTTCGCTCTTAAAAACTATCTAGGTTTATCAGATTAACTATAACTGTAACTCTCAAACACTTAAGTTTTTCCCCAATGTTTTCTTACTATTCCCAATTATAATATGTACCGTCTCAATAGGATTTATTCCATATATCTTCGCCGTATCTAGTATAAGTCGGACGATTGAGGAACACAACCCATTTCTGAGTTAACGTATAGTAAGCTCCCTTTGTAATTAGATTAGTTATATTGTGTCGATTCCTATCGTATATGTCGTTATGCAGTATCTCTTATTTTCATAATAAACCTTTTTGATGCTACTTATGTGTTCTTGTGTTAATGTCGTCAACGCTTGGCACTCTAAACCCCCGGTGACTCAGGGTGGCGAGCCCAGGCTCATACGAAGACTCCACATATTGCCAAAAAAAAATTAACTTTATCGTCATCTAACTTTTGAAACTTACTGCATTTTGATGAATTCCGACAGCTTAAATGGTGAACTTTTTCGTGGTAACGTCATAGACTTCAACAACGAATTCTGAACCACCGTTGACTTTATAATACGAAACGTTCCAATCTTGTACTGGACGATATGGAAAACTGAAGAATAGTAGAATCTTCAGTTTTTTCCATATCTTCCAGTACACGATTGGAACGTTTGAGGTAGAAGGAAGAACAGTCTGAATAAGATAATAAAAAATTGATACAAGATTCAACTAACCTGCTGTTCTTCATGACAGTTAAGAGATAAAAGAAAAAGCTCAGAAAATACAGCTGTTTCAAAATGGCTTGATGATCTTTCTTGACATAATAGCGATATACCGCGTTTGTGAGAAGGAAAAAATCTTTTACTTCTTCAGTCCTTAAACTGAAGAGTGGGATGTTCTGAAAAAAAGAAGTGAGAATGTGAATATGAAAGAGAAACTCACCTCCAACTATCTAATCTTCAGCTTTTTTCTCCAGAAGACTGTACCGATCGCAGAAAAACTTCCAACCTTGCCATCTGAAGAAATATATATTACAAAAAACGATTATGAAGAGATTAAAAAACAAGTATAATGAACAATATGGCGAATGGTCACATGAATGAGTAAACAGTATGGTGAAGACATCGAAATCAACAAATTCCTATGGGAAGACAGATGCACTAATATGAGCAAGCTTTACGATCACGTAACTAATCGAGAAATCAAAGAAAAAAAATGAAAATTGAACAATAATCAGAACAAAATGTTTAAGAAATTAAACCATGTCATTTTGAGAAAAACAAACACATCATGATACGGGCAAGGATGAACTTTAACAACATTTTCTAAGCTTGAAACTATGCTAATTTTCTCGATGTTTTGAAAAAAATCAAATTTAACGTGAAAGGTATGCTAATGAGCACTCAGCATGCTGACGTGGCTTATTTTCATCAAGAATCACAGACATCATCGATGTATGAGTTTACTTCATATTCAAGAAACTTCCGCTCACATAATTTTTGAAGAAATTTCAAAAAAATCTGTGCATATAACCTTTTTTTTTCAGAAGGGTTATGCATGAACAATAGCTATACTGCATTCGCCTATGCTTATTGTTCAGAACAATGTTGAAGCTTTTTCTGAACATGAAGTTTATTCTCTTTTTTTCCAACACAAAAATCATTCATAAAACTATTTATTACAGAGTAGAAGTTTTTTTTTCTTCTCAGCTTTCTGGAATATCTGGAGAAGAGGAATATCTTTTCATGCAACTGACTTTTGTATTGAGGAGCAGTTGCATCTCCAGCATGAACATCTTCGGGATATTTAGAGTAGCGAGGCTCAGTTCTATGTCGAAGTTCTCCAGATATTCCAGAAAGCTGAGAAGAAGTGGATGGTCAAGTTTCACCGGGTCAGAAATTAATAGTTCAGTGACTTAGTACTTTGCTTACCTGTAGACTCATCAAGTGGAGACGGTTTCTTCTGAAGCGGTGATCTTGATCTGCTTCGGCGGTGGACATTTTTCTGAACTTATAGTTCAACCTTTCTTCTTGGTGTAGATTTCCTTATTTATAAGTTATCATACAAATCACGAAACCCTTGTTGAGACACATTCCGTTAGCCATTCCAAAAATACCAAATCTGGTCCGATTTCTTGAACCTTTTCACCAGCACATCTATGCATAAATTACTTCTCAACTAATTTTAAGTATTTTAGTTGTTTTTAACATTGTATTTTGCAAAGCGATAGTCACTTTACATTTTCATCAAATGAAATCATACCCTCTGGTAATCGCGTCCGATCGCAATGACGTCATAAATTGAGTTCGAGCACACTTACTCAACGTTCGCAGTTTCAAAATATATCATCGGTGAAAAGTTATACCTTTTCAAATTAAAATGGGCAAAAAACAAACTTATAAAGGTTTCAAAGGTATTATCTATGATTTTAGATTGTTTTAAATTATGTGTGATTAATCCAGGCTCTCTTCTGCAGGAGGCAGTCTTGTCTCATGTAGTACAACTGCGGGAACCGAATGGCATATATGATTACGAAAAAGCCATTAGTTATTCTTTTGTCAATACTTTAGCACTTGTTATAGATCCACTAGATCGTATAGAGTATGGTCAGTTCCATTTAGGTTTCAAAAGTTTCAAAAAAACATTCAGATATATCCGTCAAAACAGCTGATGATATTGTTGTTTACCTGTGTGACCTGCTCGGAACTGGGGAAGTCGAGAAGAACTTGAGTGGAATCGACCAGGAGACTTCAACTGAGTTGCTGATCGTATGATAATTCGTAAGCAGATGTTTCAGTTCTTCATTTCAGCGTATCCGCAATCTCAGCCGATTACTGTTTGCTGTGTTCTGCGCCTCCAAAGGATATCTTGCCAATGATTATATCGACTTCGACCTTATGGAAAACGCTTTGAAATATAATGTTTCTAATTTCTTAGAACTTTAAAGTAATAACCGTTCATCCAGAAGCTTGACATCACACAAGAATTGGATATCCTGTTAGGAATGCACCGAATTCTCGATTTTCTGAAACTGCCCGAGGTCACAAAAAATTTCAATCTAAAGGAAGTTCAAAAGATGAGCGAGTTGTTGAAGTTACTGAAGACAGAGAACAATGAAGAGTTACTTAAGGTGAGCCAAGCTTCGAAGTTTTCATAAAAAATTAGTCTAAGGAAAATATTGAATCAGTTTTCAAAAACACTCTCTCCAAGATTGAGTTCCATCAACCAGTGGAGGAAGAAGAGATCTACAAGGTTTCAACACTTGACATCTTCCTAAACAAAATTGTGTTCAGCTTGTTGTTCAATCATGTAATTCTGATTTTGGTGCAGTCTTGTACCTCCTGCAAGAACGAATCGAGCTTCTTTATGATTTCAAGATAGTTGAAATGTGAGTATTAATAACGAAATCAAGTGAACCTTTTTGTTTTAGTTTACTTGATAGCTTTGGAGTTGTTGCTGCTGGAAATGATCTTCGACGGAAAAGAGCATTTTATCGGGTAAATCACATTTTTTTCAGTGATACCTCTCCTATAGGGCTTGCTAACCATCATTGGAAATATGAAAAACTATGATTTGAACATGTTGACTGAAAAGTATATAAGTAATACTGACGTTTACGTTCTCAAATGGATCATTTTCATTAGAGAAGTTGAAATGGTAAGACAGTTGTACGGTGGTATCCTATTTCTCTTGTTCAGTTAGAAGGAAGCGCTTGTCAAAATTACGAGCCAGTCACGGATGAAATCGCACAAGGAAAATCTATCGAGACGGTTAATCTTAACTGTATTGCATCTCTATACTTCCGTTTTAGATTGTTCCTCACATATATTTATGGGCAATTCTTGCACCTATCGTTCCTATACCTTCTCACGAAGACTTTTTCAAAAGAATCGCTCGTACTTTAATCTCCAACATACCCGAACAAGCTAAGCTGAATTTGGTTAAGGTATGGAAATCTTACTCTAAATGTACCTGTTTTGAAGGCTTTTAACCAATTGGTACCCAAATGTCGCCAAACATTCTTAAATCCAAACAATACAAACTATACAAGCTCTCTGTATTATGTTGTGTATCATTTGATCAAGGAGATGAAACCTGAAGATTTCAGTAAAAGAGGATGCCATGCTATCAGCAGTTAGTTTTCAATACGATTTGCCATGTCACATCCTCTCATAGTTCTTCTCGACCGTTTATGTCCAATGCGAATGGTGGAGTTTATTTTGCCTTTTATGGACAATGACATGCTTCAACGCACCAAAACAGCTATTTGTGTCCAGTATCTCCTCAAGAACGATAAGTTGTTGACAATGATCAGACAAGCTGGAGGTAGGATTTTCAATTCATTTGCTTCCTCGAACGCAAGCTTCAGTCACCGACAAGTCCACCGCAAGAGCAGGAATTCTGAAAAGATTACTGGATTTAGCTTTGGGGAGCTATCAAACTCCTTACGAATCGAGTAGCTCGGGTCGCTTCCAATTTATAAGTAAGCCTCGAACCAGTTTATAATCCCTTTACTTCTTTAGACACCACTTTATCGTTTTTGAGCTCAGTCTTTGCTAAACATATCAGTCCTGAAGAACTTGAATACTTTATTTTGAAAATGGAGGTAGTAGCATGCATATGAATCGAGACGTATAGTTTATTAAGAAAACGCAAATGGAATGGTATCAGTTGGTAATTTTGAAATACGGCTTTTTCCAAGTTTGGGAATGTGACCTGCCTAAGCTGGAGGTTTGTGAGAAACTACAAATTACTGACTTCATTGTAAATATAGTTCAAAGCTGAAAACATCGAATCATATTCGGATCTCATGCAAACATCTTTCTTCAAACCTTTGTCATTCTGGATGGGCGATTTCATGATGGAAAGTTTCTCTTTATTATATAAAAGTTCAGTTTGAATCAAATATTCCTACTAACCTTCATTTTCAGAGTTTTTAACCAGTGTTTGCCCTGTGATGATAGCTTGTGCCTTACTCGAACAGCTTCATGTCGTTCATAGTATTGCTCAGGTATTTTGAAGTAAAAATGTTTTCATTCTTCCTTTACAGTCCTCAGCCGACGCCATCCATGGTTTTATTAAAGAAATTTGTGTTCTGCCTGAACCAAATGGAGAATCGGGAGAACAACCTGAGAAAAGCTCTGAAACGTTGATGGAGGTATCCAGTAAGAAGTTCAACTGTAATACCTTATGATTCAGTGTGTGAAAGAATGTTTGAATGTTACATTGGACAAGCTTTGTTTAGATTTCGGTGATAACGAGGTTCTTACATTTCTCTTGATTTGTTCAATTTTCTGTATCGTTTCAGGCTATCGGCACTAACGGAAATACTGGGGTTATACTCTTTATCTTTGTTTGTCCTACATAATGCAATTACAGGAAAAATTCGCTTTTCTAAATATCCTGAAAAACCCTGCAGTTCCAGAAGATATCAGATCAACGAGTTCTTGTTCTTAGCCCATCATTAACTTTTACTCTATCTTTCAGTTTCCAAATTAGCAGAGCAGAAAACCACTTACCAACCATATTTAGAGATTCCAGTTGAGAAACCACCACCTCCCATGATTTACTCAAACGATCGAGAAAATGAGGGCCCGGTGATTTACGCTAAGAATCAAAAACCTGAGAATGCTGCTGGTAATTGGAATCAAGCAAACGTTTCACAGTTATTTCAGAAGATCGGATGGCCAAGATTAGAGAGGCTTTTTTCTCTACCAACGAGAGATCAGAAAGACGTGCTGGTCAAGCTCCATTCTTTTGCCATGGATTAGAGTATAAGTATGAAGAAATTATTTTTATAAAAATGGATCCTGAAGCTGCGGTATGGATTATCAAACGATGTTTGAATAATTTCTCATTTCAAGACACGTGTGAAAGCTATGTTCATAGGTATCAAAGGTAGTAACATTTCCAAATACCGGATGAATTTCAAAATTTCTCTCGATGTCCCGGTTTGACTTCTATATTGCCACAAAAATCTGTGTTGTTTTCTATAGGATAACAGTAGAGGAATGGAGGTCTTCATATATTCCAACGACCAGAGAGTAATGCGAAATGCAAGAAAAGAAATTTATAGAGATCTTCAGAGATTTGTGAGTTTTTCATCATTACCGTCACTCCATTGAATAACCGATTTATAGAAAGAGAAGGTCATAACGTTGAGACGAAATCAAAACCGCCAAAATCGCTAGGTTTTCTTGCAATCTCGTAATTGTTTATATTCATCTTGTTTCTTATTCTTTACTAATAGATGATCAATCAACATGTCATTTTTTGAATTTCTAAGTAAAACGTGGAAAAGTTGCGTGAGCTAGAAATTGCTGTTCATTTTTCCTTTCACTGATCGGCGTGCGGCTGCTGTGCTGTGCTATACTTGTGTTTTCATTTTTTGATATTATATCTGTTGTTAAATCTTTTAGAAATAATTAGAACCGTTTTTGATTTGTATTTTTTTTGTTTTTTTGCTCGTGCGATGTTAACCCGTATTCTCGTATTCGTTGTTAATTCGTTGATTGTTTCACTTGTTTTTGTTTTAGAAAGCTGTAGAGCAGTATATGAAAATTATAGCAAAATCCTATTTTAGGGTATTTTCTAAGGTAAATTGTATTTCAAATGAATATATAGTAAGCGAATAACAGAGTTGTTCATTTAATAAAGTGCTTATTCCTTCAAAAAGGTTATTCAGCATGTGTTCATCTAATGAATTAGGTAATGGCATGCTTCTGACAATGAACATCTTTGGTTCTAGATAACACATGGTCAGTTCCGGAAGGAGTCCGTGGATCGCAAGTATTAGATACTTCTAAATTCAAGTAAAACTAGCTTACTGTTACTTTCCAAGTTAATGTTCCAGCAAGAAAGCAACTCTCCCTGTTATTGAGATTGAGGCTAAGTATATAAACGCTGTACGTAGTAAAGCAGGCGTAGATTCATATTTATTGAAAAACCTAGGTAAAATTAAGGTATTCATAGAATTGCTAACAAAAACAACCATTTTCTTTCCAGAATTTCATAAGTTCGGCCGAGGATAACAAGAAGAAAGTACTCATCTTTGATCCTGAAACGTTCAAATCTGACACTGATGCAGCAAAGAATGAGATTTCCATGAAACTAAAATCGGTTATTTCGGGTGAGTATGAGAACCGCTACTCAAGTGAGCAAAGATGGGACTTGCAGATGCTGAATTGAAATGGTCATCCATGACCTTTGACATTACTTTTGATGACTGGGATATCAGACGAATTATCAAAGCTGTTCTGCCCGATAACCTCGACTTCAGGTGCAAACTTATTCATATTTCTATACCTTCACCATTTCCTTTTAAGCAGCTTCACTCAAACTGGCCATATCATTCATTGTAATTTCCGGGATGAGCTCAGTCCATATAAAAAGATTCTTGGCGAAATATTACTTAAGAAGGTTAAGAACTGCAGGTATATAGATTAGAACCGGGCTATACACAACTTGTGTTTCAGAACTGTTGTTAATAAAATTGATGGCATCACCAGTGAATTCCGAAATTTCCAAATCGAGCTCGTAGCAGGGGAACCTGATTACGTAGCCGATGTATTGGAAGGTGGATGTCGATTCAAACTCGATTTCAGTAAAGTCTTTTGGAACTCTAGATTAAGCTATGAACACGATAGAGTTAGGAAATATTTCGACTCCCGATCTCTGAGTATGTGTTGTTTTAATATCATTTTTCATAATCATTTTTCAGTTTTTGATGCATGTGCTGGTGTTGGTCCTTTTGTTATACCGATAGTGAAAAAGCTCCATGCTAGAACAGTAGTTGCCAATGATTTGAACCCAGAAAGCGTTAGATGGCTCAAGGAAAGTATGAAAATGAACAAGGTGATCAATGTCAGTCGTTAGCAGTACAATATATGTTTTTCAGATATTATCATCTGAAATTGATGTTCACAATATGGATGCTTTCGACTTCATCAAAGGACCGTTCGCTAACGAGCTCATCAAAGTGAGATCCTATTGAATCATTTAGTGTCAACTGATTGTTCTATAGGCGATGAAGCAGATGAAGTCTGATCCCGAACTAACTCCTGCGTCTGGAGCTCACATATTAATGAACTTACCAGCATTTGCTATCAATTTTTTGCCTGCATTCAAGTATTTTGATCGATATGAGCTAAACTCTAAATCTTCATTTCAGGGGAATTTTGCATGGAAAGTTAGAAGATAGTGACATCCCGGAAGAGATGTTCCCTATAACTATCTACTGCTACTTATTCGTCAAAGTGAGAATGATTTCTAATCAACTGTTTTCATATCTTTCGTTGTAGGCACATGAAGAAGTTCCAGACGAATACTTCCCTGATATGGCTAGGAAATATGTTTTAGAGAAATTGAACTACCCTGAAGCAAATATCAAAGTAATCCATCATGTAAGTTGTGATAGTTCTGCCGAAAATCATACTTCATTGTAGATAAGAACAGTGTCCTCGAGGAAGGAGATGTTCTGCGTGCAAGTTGAGACACCACTAGAGTTTCTTAGGATGAAGCCGGATGAGAAAGATGAGCCGGAGGCCAAAAGAGCCAAGCTGGAAGATGAGTGATCATTCATTGTTGTTGTTATTGTTATATGTTGTTATGTTTGACTGGTTATCATGAAGAAAGAAGATTTGTTCTTTTCCTATACGAGAAGTTAATACTTTGAATCGATATCTTCCTTCATCCCTCTAGTTCGTATTCAAGTGTTTTAGAGCATTTATGAACTTTCTAAAGTCTCTGGGGTCAACAAATGTTTTAGTCAATACGAAGGTATTCTGTTCTCGTCCTCAATGTGATGGAGTTCTATTTTAGTTTGTGAGTTATGAATTTGCCCGATATGCGTCCTCTCTTCCATCTTTAAAAATTTATAGTCTGAGGAGGCGTTTGGCAGAAAAATTGTCGAATAAGTGAATTCCTTTGGAAATTGCCTGTTTTATATTTTATTCATAGATATGATCTTGAAAGGGTTCAAGAAATCGGACCAGATTTAGCATGTTTGGAATGGCTAATGGAATGTGGCTCAACAAGGGTTTCGTGATTTGTATGATAACTTCTAAATAAGGAAATCTACAGGTGATCATGAATGATCAAGAGAATATATGTAGTATAAGACAAATGAAAGAGTATATATCATTCGCTTTGAATAATAACACAACGCAAGTGAGAATCTCTTCTACTTGTTTCTAAAGTTCCTTCTTTGCTTTCAGAATACCAGGCCGTCAGCTTTACCTAATGATACTTCGTATGTCCTAAAATGGAAGCATGTACCACCGAATTATATCGTAAACGTAATTTTACTTCAAATTCAACAACCAAAACTTGCTATATCAGGTGGATGCAAGCGATTCTGCCATTGCCAATGAAGGTTTCCAGTACTTTCGCGATCTCCGGATGTTATCTGTTCTCAAGCTGAATTTCTGTGATTATTTCGGGGATGAGGCCTTAAGGGAATTAGCACTAGGACGACCAGCACAAACACTCTCAGACATTGTAGTTTGCACATTAACATGCCTTTCTAATAATAATTTTTGAAGGAAATAGTTTTGAACCCCAGTATCACAGATGGTTCTGTCTATTGGATCAGTCGGCTGAAAGCTCTGCGGAGAGCTCATTTTTATTTTCTGCCGTACATTTCAAACCGACAGGCATTTGTTAGGCAATTGAAAACTTCTGTTCCTAAATGCAAGGTTTGACGAGGAACACATCTGGGATTCCTAAAGTTTTCTGAATTTCCAGGTGACATTCCCAGAAATCGGAAATATAGGCTACGGTTATTCGGACAAGAAATGAGTTTGTATATAATACTTCTAGGAATTGTCAGCTATTGATATAAAATAAAAAATTTCAATTATTCTACGAACTTGATTGGTTGAGCTTAGTTGATAGTTGTGTCCCTATATAGTAGCGGGTCTGGGATACTCACAGATTCCTAATTAGGAAACATTATGGAAACGACTAAAGATGAAGGCGGGATATAAGTCTCTTTTTCTCTGCCTTCTTGACAAGCTTATTCGAAAGCCCGTTTAGAATTAATGGTTTTGTTCTTTGACAAAATCTCTCTTTATAAATTTTCAACAGATTGTCAAACTAACTGAAATTGTATATGTGGTGAAAAATGCTTGAGCTTTAATGCTGGCCAATTGAACTTTCTTTTGCAACACAAGCGAGAAAAGAAAAATCAAGTTGAATGAGGCTGCTCACTTCTTCTCCAAGCTCGCCATACTTAAATCCCCATTTTTGTTTATATTTTCGGACTTTCTATTGCTTCCCTCTCTAATCACAGCCGTTTGTCCAAATTATGCACGAATATGATAGCATGCCAACCTTTTCCCGTATCGTTCCCAGCCATTGCGTTTGCACACATTTGTATTCTCTTCACTTTTGTTTTTGTCTTCATTGATCTGTTCTCAGCACATTATTGTCAGTCAATCATTTCACAAAATGTTATTTTCATAGAATTTTAATAAAAATTGAGTTATTAGCATTTGACGTTGTTGCTTCACGATACCTCTCCATCAGAAAGCAACTATTTAGCATTTTCAACAACGAGTACACAGCCCGTTTACGGCATAGTCTAAATTTTTTCAGCACTTTTTTGTTTAAAAGACATCTAGGAGGCTTTTCAGCACTTTCCCTTTCTAGCTAATTTCAAAGGATTTAAAGAGTATTTGTTTTATGAAAACTAACAAGCTTCAATCCTCCCATAGATAATGGTAGACGAGTCTGTTGTCAAACATAACTATTCATCTTCGTCTTTCTCATCTGCTTCGAGAGGTCGCCATGATCTACTACAACTCTTCTCTTCTTCGTCTTGCCTCATCATCAGCTCGTTTCTTTTTTTTTGTCCTCTGTCAGCATAATATACTCATTGCTCCGCCGACGACTTGTTCTAATTAGAAGAACTCCATCTTTGTTCAGGACGTCTACAACTTGTTCCACTGAAACTCGTGTAAAAGATCTAAAAATCTTTCAGTTTCAATCAGTAACTAATCAGCCCTGTCTCAGAGAGGGTTTGGAAAATATTCGCACATACACAATCTCAGGCCTTCGAATTCCCGCCTACTTTCTTTCGCTTGCACAAAAATTCTCCTTCATCTTTCTTTCTTGTTATCGAAAAGCATCAACAAAGCTTATCGGCTAGGCTTTATATATACTCTAGCGCAAATCCTTAATGAAGGTCATGAGCTAGATTGCAACCGAGTCAGTGCCACGTTCAACAGGAAATAACTTTCCACGTGGCATCCATGACGTATCTATCACGTGTTCTAGTGCTCGTATGCAAATTACGTGTAGCGACTCTAGTAATAAATATGATTTAAAATTATATTTTTTTATTCATCTCTCTCATCCTTCTCCATATAATTATTTTATATTTCATATTATGAGTTTGATCGTCCCTTAGATGCTTGTTCATGCTTCATGTTGAAACCTTATTACTCTTTCGTTATTACAAATGAAGTTTTTTCATCTGTTTTTGAGCTTTTTACTATAGTCGACCTTTGGACTTCTTAATTTATAGGTTTTTTAGCCAAATTTCAAATATACCATTTGTTGGGATATTCCAAAACTCATTCTTCTCTCCAACTTCTGATAGATTCTTGTGAATAAGCTACAATTATGGTTTTTGCAAGTTTTTTCTAACAAAATTCCATCTCATTCATTTACTCATTCATTCCAGCGACCAAAGCTAGCTCTGCTCATCATTATGGCTGGACAGTAGAAGCAGAAGCATGTCTTCTTTTTTTTTATTTCTCTCACCCTTCTCGTTGTCTTTTCTTTTTCTCTCATTTTTCTTTGTCATTTCGTTTTCTTTTCTTTCAACTTTTTTTTCCTTTTCCCCTTTTTTGTCTTTCTCTTCTTGTCCTATCCATACATATTAAGTGAGCTATGATAGCTTTGAAACGGCAGTTCTAAGTTGCTTACAGGCTATTAGTTAAATGTTCAGTTAAGCTTATTTCCCAGCTAATTTCACGTCGCTCATGCTTCATACTGATGTTTGACAAAGCTTTTTTCCTCATTTTTATATTTTATTTAATTGTATCGACAGACCATCCAGACAAATGGATATGTTTTAAGAATCGAACAATCCACAAGTAATTATGTATATATTATCTGATTCATGGATATGCAATGAGATATATAGATTGGCATGACGAATTTATTATAAAATTAAAATTTTTTCATAACAAAACGCCACTCTGACTTGAGTGAGAGGCTTTTTTTTTCTGCGTCTTCACCAGAAACAGCTAATTGGTCACTTTGATTCTTTTGAGTAACGTTTTTTTCATTCATTATCACTTTAAGAGATATGAAGAATGAACGAGATGCATTTGAGAGTGAGATCGAGTATAGAGGGGAGAGAAAAAAAAGCGCAACAGCAATATTCTAAATTAGCGTAAAGCTAATCAACCCACCATTTATGCTAATTTTGCTCATTTCCACTCTATGCAGTAACGTCGACCGGTTGTTTCATTTTTGCCATCAATGTTCTAAGAAACTTTGGGTGACTATTTTTGAAGAGATGCTCTTTTATTTTTCGTATCTTGTGATACCTTGGCTGTTCAGAAACCGTCATTTTCATGTCAGCTCATTTGTATGACGGAGTTTCGTTTTATTTTCTCATAATTATGGAAATTCCTTCTTCAGCTTCTTTTAATGTCGATTAGTATTGGAATTTTTCGTTGCAGAAGTATTTTCCAACAATTAATTTTTAATTAAGCACAAGAAGTTCGTTTCATTCTATATTTGATTATATAACTTGAAAGGATGCTAAATTAAAGGGTTATTCATCAGTTACGCCACATGGAGCATGTGAGCTGAACTATGCTTTTTTTGAAAATATTTGATTTTTGTGCTGCATTTCTATACAAGCTTAACTGATTAGGTTCACCTCAACTAGTTGAATGACAAAAAATAGTTTTCCCTTTCACAATTGTATACGAAGAATGGGAGAGTAAGTGAGAAAGAGGGAAAGAGTAAATAATTTTTGGATGAATTGTAGAAGACGGAAAGATGATTTCGGAAGAAAGTAAGAGAGGTAGAATGATGGTATGTGTGAGGGATTGAACGATATGTGTATGTATCACTTGGATGTAGCCTTATGGATATGGAAAGAGGGAAAAGTGGTTGAGAGTGATTGATAAAGATTGGACGAAAGCGATTGACAGCGAGAAATGAGAGTCAGTAATGCTAATAAATAAAATATAATTTTTAAAAATATTTGAGATTTTGCTAGTTTCAGCTTTTTATTTTCTTGGAATGTTCGCGAACAATTAATGTTTAGCATGAAATAATAAAAAATGTATTTTATTAGGAAACCAAACATAATAATATATGCTCGTTGGATTATATTTTTTTGTTTTATAGGATCCTTTCTTCTCGTTTTGAATATGAAGCACAGAGAGTGTGCTTGTACTCCATTAGTTGTTCTTTTGCAATCATTTCTTTTTTCTACTTATTAAATGATTGAATAAGTTGTTTTGGAATGGATCGTATTCCAATCTCACTCTCTCTCTATCTATCGCTCTGTGTCTCTCTCTCTCTACACCTGTTTACCGATAGCCGTGGCGCTTGAACGGCGACCAAGAGTTGAAAGGGACGCCCTCATTTTTTTAACTTTCAAAATGCTCAAAAATTACAATAAACAATGAAAAGAAGACGCAAAAATAAGAATTTTGATGGGATTACGGAGGATGTGTGTGTGTATGTGTGTGTGTACTTTCCGACAAAAAATTCTTTTTTTTTCTAAAATGTTTGTGTTCCTTTTACAGGATGTGGAGGAGGAATGAAGACAGAGAGAGAGAGATTCAGAGAGAGAGAGAGAGGAGAAGCATGAGGATGCCTTTAATTAGCTCTCCAGATGAGTAAGATGTTGAGAATATTTATGAAATTAGACAAATGAGTATGGAAAGTGAAAAAATGACATCGTCGTCTATTGCTCATTCTGTTCAGAAGTTTCGTTTGTTGGATGTTTTTCTTATTTTTCCATCGTAATCTGTCGTTCGCATACGTTTCACAACAAAAGTCTTCCATTTAATTGGAAAATGTGGAGAGGAGAGATGTAGGGAAGAAGAAGGAAAGAGGAAGCAGAGGGGGGGGGGGGGGATGTCAGAAAAGAAAAATTAAAGTAATTGAAACTATTCATATGAAACAATATTTCAATTATTCTTTATCTATCGCATTTAATATGCTTTTCGTCTGACAGACGCTTTCGATTGTGATTATCTTGGATATGAGAAGAAGCCGTGTATTATGCAAATACGGAAAACTTAATCACAGGTATGCCAAACTGTGCCGTCAAGAAAAATTATTTTCTCAGCTGTTCGTACTTACAACAAACATATGTTTTGGTCATATCTTGCGCTTATACAGAATTCAAGACTCCGTGCAGACTTTACAAACTTCTGTTGGAATTTCGGTGATGAGCAATCACTTTTCTAACATAAATGGACAAGGACGAGGAGATCACGTACAGGAAGAGTTTTGTTGATCGGGGTGGAGAGTGAGCAATCTAAAGTTTTCGTTGAAAGTGTTCAAAACGAGGGTCTAATGGCTCATATCAAGCATGAGGGTTGAGATGAGGTAATTTGAGATTCCCGTGAGGAGATAATAACCGGAGAAACATTATGATGCATTGAAACAAGTCTATTGTCTCCCTTTGAATATTCATATTCTTTTGTAGAGTATAGAAAACTGAAATTTTTTTATTTCAAAAGGGAACTGGAATTGTCTAGATATCACAATATTCGGAGGGTTTCTTCATCATTTGCCTGGAGGTCATGGAAATCATCTTCCTGCCTAGGTTCAAGAGAAAACACAAAGTCAGCTTGTTTAGGTCTCGATGTCCATAAAAGGCTATATATCTTGAGGACGAGTAGAAGCGAGTAGAGAAGCTAGAGAACTTCAACAAAATAAAAAAATTCTTTTTCCAACTTTTGAAATTGTCTTCTGAGACGCTTGCTCCAACTTTTTTTGGCCACGACTGTATATGCGAAAGCAGGCAAAAAAATTTTTTCCCAACTTTCAATCATTTTTCTCTTTTTTTTCTGCCTCGTTACTTGGATACTCGTCATTAAAAGGTTTTTATGATTATTATAAAATGAACGAATGAAAAGATAGTAAATAAGGAAATGTGGCAGTTTTGTTTATGTCTTGCTCTCAACATGTCTATGAGTTTTCGGAATTTTCGGGGCAGAAAATTCTCTTTTTTTCAGCTTCGAAAATTCATTTGAAACTCTCTCATCTAACGTCTTGGCAGTTTTTATTTTCTCGTCTTCATTAATAAATTCATTCAATATATTCTTCTATATGGTAAAATCTGTATTCTAATAACATCTTCGACTTCACCTTCCCCTTCACCGTATACTTGTCACATGGATAACGTTTATCTCATTTCAGACATGATATCTGCCCAGCCATCCAGAGATGTAAATTATATTCGAAAAGAGAACTCGGTAGGTTGACTTTCTTACTCGTCGTTACATAGCAAGCTCATCTCTCTATATGCATCTTCCGTTTCTATGAGTTTCTGTTTCGACGGCAACTTTTCTCATTTTCTTTCAATTTTCTTTGCTTCTTTGCCTTTCCATTTTCAATTCAAAACGGTCAATGACCTTTTGAGGAGTTAAGAGAAAGCCCACATGAGCCTTCACAAACAGAATTAAGACATTTCCTTACGATCTTTGTCTGTTTCCTCCTATCATATCCTTCTGCACTCCATGGATATGTATATATATATATAGAATTCATATTCTCTCAATCAGGGATTGATGGCTGATAACTCTTTTTGTGTCGATTCATGTTTTATTCCAAGATTTGTAGATGAAAGATGAAAAACTTGACGTCAGCTTCCTCACCTGACCACATAAATTATTTTGCCATTTATCAAACAACTCTCGATCTTAGATATGAACTCTTCGGTAGTGCTACTTTCATCTTCGTTCTTGATTATTTGACTGCTTTTAAGATTGCTCTCTCTCTCTCCACCCCAAAAAACACTTCGTTCATATTAATTCCGTTTTGAATATTTCATTTTATTCATTTCTCTCGCAATCAATAACTATCAAATGGCTTTTTTGACTTTTTTTTAAAGGAGGCTGAACCCATCTTCCATCTTCTTCCTTATACGGTCAAAACATCATCTTTGACCCAAGCTAACACCCTATGACGTTCTGTTAGTTCATTTTAAGAGCGAAAATGAGAGAAGTTAGGTAACAGTTTGAATCATAGAGGAATCTTTCTTCTTCTTCTCCTTCTCAGTTCCGGCTTCTTCTGCTCATTTCCCAATCCATTTCCGTTTTCTCAAAGTTGTATGACTTAATAGTTTGAACAGATATCAAACGAATAGATGAATTTGCCTTTCATTCTCTCATATTCTAGAGAAAGGAGAAGAAGAAGCTTCTACTGCTGCTCTTCTCTAACTCATCTCCTATATCCCATCTCTAGTCGATTATCTTGCAGAATATAATCCAAATTTGACTGTTACATACATATATATATATATAAATTAATATATATTAAACTAGAATTTGTTTTGTGAATTACAAAGTTCGTCATATTTTCAGAGCCATATCCCTTCGATATCCATTGATCCTCCTCGTCGGCTTTCCATCTCATCCCCACTTCGGTTTACTCGCACATTCTCAGAAGATTCACTTGATTCCATCGAAAAAACAGGAAGAAAAGAATTGCTGAGGAGAAAAATGCTTTCAAGTCAGGTAAAGAGATTTTCAATTTTTTCCAACATCTTTTTCTCCCAATAAGATTTCCGACCAATTATTTTTAGTAATTAATCTCTTGGTCGCAATTAGCTTCGACAAAAAATTAGAAACATTGATAAATTGTAATTTTGATAGCTAATGGCTCTTGTCATCTTAAATTTTGACTTATTGGCTCATTAGCATTCAAAATTTCTTTTTGAGTTAGGTAAATGCTCTCGATGTCCGCTCGTCAGTCGCATTTTAAACTTTTAGTCTTCGCTATTCTCCCTCTCTCCCTCTCTGTTTCAAAATTAAATTTCTTTTATCCTTAGGAAACAGCCATGAATCTTCTGCCTTCACCAAATGGATGTCCATTGTTACGTGAAATGGGACGATCACGTACAGAACCGACGGATTCATCAGATAACTTGAGGATTCCACCAATGGTATACAGCTGAATGCTCATCAGCATAGACATTTTATTTTATTTTCCTCTCTTACAGCTTAAAAGATCAACGGGTGATCTTACCAGAGAACATACTTCAAAACGTACATTGGGGGAAGTAATAGGTTTGTCTTTGACTCCTTTCCACCCCTCAACATTCATTTTGTTTTCATTTTTAAGGTTTAACGCTCTATCAGCACAAGCTTATAACTCAAGCTTGGCCAAATATATATAGCACGGGATGTAATGGCCAATTTGCAAGTAATATTTACGATTTTTTGTGTAGAAAATGTCCGAAAGCTCGAATTTTGTTCAAAAAGGTAAAAACATATCTATATTCACTACAGATTATAATAAATATTATTCTTAGGCTAATACGGTAGCCAGTTTTGCTCAAACAGATGATTGTTATGCCTTACATGCTAAGGTAACTGTAGAATTAATAGATGCAGCAATACGAGGATTAGATACGGAACATGTCAAATTCACTTCATATGTATATGAGGTAACCGCGATCTATACTGGGAACGAATATTATATTAAAATTTAAGATAGGAAAATCTCATCGGCATTTACGTGCTGAGGGTCTAACCACCGGTATGTGGGATGAGTTAGGTATGTCTCAGCTTAAGATTTCAATATATAAATCAAGATTTCATGACTGTGTTTGTTTGCTCCATTCCACTTTTGATTTTCATTTGTATTACTCCCATTCTCAACGGACATTCCATTTTTGCAAATTTCATCGAAACTCCCCCCAATACAATCAATATTTAGTTCATTAAAATGTTTTTCGATGAAGAAATTGAAGACAAATCTTCGAAAAACAGTTTTTCAAGCATTCGTAGAACTGATACGTCACATACAAAAAAACTAAAACACAGTTCCATAGGTAACCCCAGTCAAACATTAACAGACCGTTCATAAATGCAATCAAAACATAAAATGACGCACATACGGTGCGTTGACTCACGTCGAATATCACGTGAACGTCATTGACAAGTCAAATTCAAATTTAATTTGTTCATACACATGGATGACTTATTATCATTTGATTACTTAAGGTGATGCTATAATTGAAGCTTTACGACGTTATGAGAGCGTTAGAAAACACAAGGAGTTACGCAGAGCATGGCTTGCACTCATTGCCTACATCACAGATAACATGAAACAGGTGAGAAGAACTTACTCATTACATTTTTCCTCTCTATCAATCTCTATTTCTTTATCTCTCTCTCTGTCTCTTTCTTTCTCCCTCTCTCTCTCTCTAACTAAAATTTTTCATTTGAAGGGTCAAACTGTTCTTCGAGCATCGTCAAGTTATGAAATTTGTGACTATGGTAGCCCCAAGAAGGTGTGAATCTCATTGAACCTGCTGGTACTGGGCAAGAGGGAAAACTTTTATTCTCTCATTTTCTAATTTAATTTTTTGTATTCAGCGTCGTACTACTTCTATTTTACATTTTTCATAAATATTTTTAATCTCATTGATAAATTCATTGATGAACTAGATGAACTCACAGCTTCTGTACTTTACGCACATATCTCCATGATGATTGATATGAATTGCTAATTTCTTTTTTTTTCGAATAATAAAGGAGAAGAAGTTTTACTCATGTGATTCTTCAAACATAGTCTTGCATAGGAACCCGATTGAGTTCTCGAAATCATAGATTTTCATACAAAATTCTCAAATTTGTAATTATTGTTATTGGTTGAGGGCTTGGGCAACAGCCTGACTTATGCTGCCATCATCGATATCATTGAAAAGTGTAGTGTGCATTTGGCTTGTTTCTCATTCTATATAATTCTATTTATGGTATGAAATATAATTTTTATTATTTGTTTGTTTGAATTTTTTTTCTCAGACAATCTGGGGGAGATAAGAGAAGACAATTTGACTGAAAATGATATGATCAGTGAGGGTAGTTGAGCTTCATAGTAAAAAAAAAACTATTAAATTACTAAAAGAGAAAGAAAGAAAAAGGCTGTAGCACCATACATGATAAAGAGCAACGGAAGATGTGTACAAACAGAGAAAAAAAAACTTTTTTTTGCAAAAAAATCAAAAAAGGTTGCGCACCCGATATGAAATTCGTTCCTAGAAGCTTGCATGAGGAGGTCCGTATTCGTTGTCATTGCTTTTGTTTTTTGTTTTTTAAATTAAAAGAGTATAACAGGTTGTAAGTATGGTCATTTGAGCAAGTATCCTATTTCACAGAAAATATTAGAAGGTTTTTGGCTTATTTGGGATTGTACGATATGAAGCTGCGTCAGCTCTAACTGGGTGGTAGGTATAACTATGGACAACATCTATTCAAAGGACTAAGAACGATTATAAACACGAGGATTTGTGAGATTTCTTAAGGCGATTTAAGCTGCAGACAGCACTGGGATCCCTGGCACAAGGAATTCGTTTTGAGACCAAGTTGGGCTTCTTGGTCTTACCGCGAGGAGAGAACAAGATTGTTTTGTAATTGTGTTTTGGAGAAGCTTTAAGTTGTTTGACTTAAACAAACTTCAGACTTCAACTATTTCTAGCGGAAGATGGTCGAATCATTTTGGAATTATAAATGAGGAGAAGGTAAAGGAAGTAACACGAATCTTCTGACAGCCTCAGACAATCTCCATTTTTCGCGGTTCTGGTTCAGAGTTGGCTGGTATGAGCTGAAACAATAGTAACTTGTGATCAGACAGAATTTACAATCTCTCACCTGATGTCGATGTGCACGAGGTCTGACATATATGGCATATGCAAGTGGAATCAGAGCAAAGGAGCACAGTTTGAGCATAGTCGATGTGCTTTAAAGTAAATAATTAATTAAATTAATTAATTAATTGAAAAATACCTGAATATATCGTCCCAAGACCGAAGATCTGATAGAATGTATCCAGCTTGAACGCAAATAAAATTATATGGCGCCAGACCTTAAAAGAAAGAACATTCGGCACATTCATGTAAATGAGGAAACGAAACAAGTTTTTTTTTATCAAATTTGCAGAGAAAAGTGTGAGGAAGGGAAAATTGCTTTGAAGAGGAGTCACATGGATTGTCTTTTTATGAGATGGACAAGAGGATTTGTCAAAAGCGAAAAAGAATTTCTACCTCATTGATTTGTTTCTGAAAGGCACAAACCAGGTCATCAGTATGGTGGACTATTCAAAAGATTAAAATAAACGAAAAAGGAATGAAAAGAAACGTTTTTGCTTTCTTTTTTTTTTCAAATGGAAAACGTGAACGAACCTATTAGCGCAGATCCGGCAAAGATGGGCAACGGTATGTTGAGAAACGGTGCCACGATATTCAGAAGCCATGACGGCGATATGGGAAACATTCGTGCAAATAAGAGAAATGGCAATAATCGATTGCTATTATCATCAATCTGAAATGGAATATAAGAGTTCAATAAGAGCCGATAGGGTGAGGCAAAACGGACCTTTTGTTGTAAGTAAGTGAGCTTTTGACCGAAATAGTAAAGAACGTATTCTCTTCCAAACATTTCAGAAAAAAGATAACAAAGAGTTGAACCAACTGAAAGCAAGATATTTAAAATCCAAAAAAAGGAGGAAAAGCCAAAGAGAGAGAGAGAGAAAGAGAAGGAGAGAAAACTAACGTGTTGTCAGACAACAGCAAAGGATGAAACCCGTCCACAAATCATAGACAGCTCCAGCAATCACATTCTAAAAGATAAGAGATTGAATAAATTGAAAAGTGACAAAGAGAGAGAAAGAAAAAGAAATAAAGAGAAAGAGAGAATGCTTACCAGCAGAAATGATCCTGGAATGGCAAATGTTTGTTTGTAAAGATATGCACAAATAAATACAGTCGTTATATACCCAAAATGATTTTCTTTATAAACACGAAATTTCTCAGCTAAAGCCGTAAAATTGTCGAACTGTCGAGGTAATTCGAAAAGACTATCTGAAAATGAGATATTACAACGATTTTACAATAGCAAAAAAACTAAATTACCGTCTGTCTCCCATTCGGGTGCTGAACATATCATGTACCAAAGGGATAAGGATGAAACCGCAAAGATACATGGTAGAATAAGCAGACGAACCATCTAAGAAGATTCGTGGAATTGTTGAGATTTACCCTATCGGGAATTTGATAGAAAATAATAAAAAAAAAGAAATCGAATAGTCGAAGAAGATTGAGCAAATCTGAAAAAGTGAAATATAGAGTAAGATTGAGAGAGACGGCATTTAATGAAATGTAAACGAAAAAAGAAAAATTAAAAAAGAAAAAAAAGAGCTAAGGTAAATCAATTCGGATGCATATGAAGGCAAAGAGAGAGAGAGAGAGAATGGACGAGAGAGAAAGAGAGTGAAAGAGACGGATAGAGAGAGAAAGAGAAAGAGAGAGAGAGAGATAAATGAAAACTTTTTCAAAAAGAACCTCGTGCGATTGGAAGTTTTTGAATTAAAAAAAAACGAGAAAACGATATGGTTGGGGACAAACTGTGTCATGTGTCAGGCCTTTACTTCTTATATGTGAAATTCAATTATTATAACTTCTTAACATTTCAAATATCATTAAGATGCAGTGTGTATGTGAAGCTGACATCATCACTCACGTCCTTTGGCAGACATAGTGATGAAGATGAAAAAAATATTATTTTTACCTTCACATTCTTCAAACAAATCGTTTTGAAAGAACACAAGATGATTGCGGTAGATGAAGCAAGATGATGTTGAATGGCTATGAGAGACACAAAATTTGAATGAAAAGTCAAGAAAAAGGACAATGAAAGTGATAATTGAAGGAATTCTTTTCGTTCTCTGACCGGATATGTGAAAGCTATCGTTTCTCACTTAGGTCACACAAAAACTCGATTGAAAATTATTCGATTTCCACAGAGATCTTGATCATTCGAAGCTTCAAACAAGGATGAAGATAGAAAGAAATTGAGAGAGATAAAGAGAGAAAGTGAGAGAGTGAGATAGAGAGAGAGACATACTGAAAGGGACATAGATATAGAGAAATGAGTGGGAGACATTATATAAAGAGAGTCTATGTTATCAGCCAACTAATTTGTTTTTGCCAATCAATTAAATAGAAAATGAATTTTTGAAGAAAAAAAAAAGAAGAAAAAGAAGTTCGATCTCATGCAGATGAATGGATGTTATTGTTTTTGATTTAACAGAATAATGTTCTTACAGACAAGACGAGAGGATGAAAAATTTCTTTTTTTTTCTTCTCTTACGTATTTCCTTCATATAGCAGACGACTAAAAATGATTTTTTTTTGTTTTTAATGAGAAACGAGGAGAGACTGATAACAACGACATCATCATCATCATCGTTGTCGACGCCGTCATCGTCTACATGGAAAAGATTAATCTTTAACTATAAATTGAGCGGAAAATGGTTGTGAGTGAACAAGTTTTCCATAATAATACTTGGTTTAATCATATCATATAATATATTCAAAAATCCAAGCTTCATGCATATGCTAATAAGCAAGAGAAAAAAATTTTTTTTTTCTGTTCCTAATTTGCCAAAAAACTGGATGCGAATGATGATGATGATGATGATGATGATGCTGCTGATGATGAATAAACAAAAAAATAAATACAATAATGGACATGGTAAGAGGGGGCAGAATGACGAAAAGCAACAACCGCTCTGTAGATGCTTGCAAATGAAAATAACCGAATGGGTAATGTGAGTGTGTGTGGAAGAGACATCACGTATATACGTGAAACACCGACGTACATAACGGGATGATTACAATATGAAAAGGAAAACCGTTTACGTTGTACGAAAATGAAATGAATACAACGAAGGTGAGATTGAAGATAAAAGGAGAATCTTCCTATCATGGCGTGAGATATCCTAGTTTCGTTTGAAGTAGAAAAAAAAGGAGAAAGAAATAAAAAACAAATATGTTTCGTTTTTCAATAATGGAGATGAAGCTCAAGGTGGGTTCTCCCTAAAGAGCGCTTGGAATTAAAACCGAAATATGATTAAAGACATAAATGGAGAAGTTTCAGATGGGATTCTTTCAGATATGACAAATTCCAATTAAATGGAGGATTGAAGCGACAAAAGCTGAAAACCAGCAGGAAATGAAAGAAGGACTCTGGCCTGATATAGACGTGATAAGCTTGATCGATGGATAATTGTGGGCAGTTGTTGGTGAAGACCAGTTTTTGGTAGCATTTCTTCTTGATGACGCTAACTAGCCATGAACAATCTTGTAGCCGATGAATATCGCATGTGGGAAAGGAGGATTTTAAAGGACGACTAAGAGAGACGGGGAGAGAAGAAGGGGGAAGCAATGAAATGGCGCGAGAGGGTGTAAGGGGATGGTGAGAGATATAGAAAGAATAAGAACTGTATGGTATTAAGGGTAAATAGCTTTGATGAAGATGAAAGTCATAATCAAATTAAAAACAATAAAAATAAAAAAAATGGAGAAACGATAGTCAAGTTGCGATGTCTGAGATGTAAGAAAAACAACAAAAAAAAATAAGAATGCTTTGTTGAGAGATGGAAGATAGAGAGAGAGAAAGAGAGTAATAGAAAGGTGGATACGAATGAGAAGTAGGGGGTAGGAGGAGGTGGGGTGGCCCGATGATAGGTAGCAGAGTCATAGACTGATATGATAATTTCGAAGATTTGATACTAAATTATGCAAAAAGGCATTAAAAAGGAAGAAAAAGCAAGAAAACACAAAAAACCAGAGCTAACAATCAGCATTAATGATAAAGAAGACCAAATATGATGAGGAAACACACAAAACTTAATGAAAAATCAATCGACTGAACCATGTAAAAGCTTGCAAAATGGATAATATGCCCGGGCTTTTGCTATGGGAAAGCCCCCCCCCCCCCTCTCTCTCTCTACAACAGAAATTGTCGAGCGCATTTGGTTGTTTTTGATAGAAATCAAAGTTCCATTAATTCAAAAACCAAGAAAGACAATCTTTCAAAGTTCAATAAGCTGCTGTATGTGATATGTGATGAGAGAGCGTCCAAATGACAGAGGAACATGAGAGAAAGTTATCAGCTTTTGTCGAGGGGGGAGGGATAAGAAAACATGGAAAAACAAAATGGAAAAAAGGAAGGAAGAATGCTTCCTTCATGGCCGCTTCATAATCTCGTCTAAGCATGAAACTAACGGTATGTATGTCATGTTGATACTTTGAGGAAGACGAAAAAAAAAACTAATAAGCAGAACATGTTTTGGCTCTCAAATCCTCAGGTTCACATATATCCCCCGTGTGTTTGGATGGAATGAGGAAGAGAAATAGAAAAAGAGAGAGGGAGAAAAAGAGAATGAGAATTGAAAAGCGAGATTCTATTCTAATAGCCTTTTGCATCATGATCACTATAGATGGGGTGAGGCATTGAAGCTTTTATAGAAATAAGTGAAAGTAGAATAACTGAAATAGGAAGGAGAAAAGAATAAGCTGACAGTCAGCAGAGAGAGTGAACACCCATCTGACTCTTTCATGTAAATGTAATCACTTTTAAAGGAAAAATGAGTTGATGAAGTGAGTCATGTGAATGTTAAAAAGCAAATGATTCATTTTCATAGAAATAAGCGGCTAATTCTGTGATTGTAAACATAATGAGTCAAATAAACTTTAAGAAAATTAGAATACAAATGAGTAACAGCAGGCTCATGCTCATGTCTCTACTTCCTATTCAACCTGCTTACTTCAAACGAAAAATTAAAAAGGTTGAATAAAAAATAATTGAAATATCTTTGTATTATATCAGAATGCTTTTCAATCATGACCAAGACCAAACGATAAAAATATCGATAAGATCAATGGTCTTGTCTCTGTCAGTGCCGTAGTTCGTACTTTCGTTGGAGAAATTTATTTTCAAAACCTTAAACAACCGTTCATTGCTCTAGCTAGATGAGATGTATAGAGATACTTGACAATCCACGTGTAACTGTCAAACGCGTGTGAACAGCACACGTTACGTCATTTACGTGTAATACGTAACATTGGCATAATTGAATTGTTGGGCGATAGTGATAAAACAGAAACTATGAAGCATATAATTTGAACAGAGGATTTTGTGTTCTTTTCAGCAGCTCATGAACATCTTCCAAGCAGCATAAGCCTAAGATCAAAGAGGGGAATTCGTGGAAAAAATGAAAAAATAAGAAAAAGAGAAAAAAAATTTTTTTCTCCTGCAAAGAATTATTGAAAACTATAAAAAGAACAGCGGGACATGGAATGATCCTGTCTTGTTATGATCGGAGTTGAAGATGAGCTGTCTGCTGCGTGAGCAAGCAGAACACGGCACGCACATACACAGGGAGGGAAATGAAAATGACAGTTACGTGGAAAGTATGATATGAACTCGTTATGATTTTCCAGGAGCTGAGTATGTGAGCGATAAAATGAAATATTCTAATTATTATATAATGGCAGTTTATGTTCCAATATGAATCTTTAATGTAGTTTTTATGATTGACACATATCACACCGTACCCGATCATCACAAAGTTTGATGAATCCTTTGTGGTTAAATGAATCAAAATGATAAAAGGAATGTGCATGTGGGAGGGCAATGCGATTCATCCTCTTAACGCTTGTTTATATCATTTTTATCATCAAAATCGTAGTTTGATATCAATTTTTTTGTTCTGCCATCTCATGCCTTTCCATCTTTATAAACTACCTCAAACCCTCTTGTGTAGCGAAAAGTAAATAATGTCTTGGACGACGTGACAAAGACTTCATTTTTGCCACAAAAACGAGAATCTCAACAAAAAAAGAAAGAGAGAGAACGGCACTGAGCGAGAGATAGAAGCAATATGTAAAGAGAGAAAGAGCATAAGGGAGTTAACCTGTCATCCAACCTTTAACCCTTCTTTTCTACAACATTCAAAACTATTTTTTGTATTTATCAATAGCTTCCGCTTTCCCTCTTGAATACACAAAAGACATTGTGACACACCTAAGAAGTTCAAAAAATGCCTAAAGGCTAATAACATGTAAGCTTCTAGAAATAATGAAAAGCTGCGCATGCAGTTAGGCACGTGCTGTAATGCGAACAGCTTACAAAAATGTTTTCATTTCGGAAAATTGTATGAT